TGGTTTTCTTGCAGACATTTCATGACCCAGCTAGGGAACATCATCAGTGCTAGAAGGAAGTGGGGTATGTGGAGGAGGAGGAGGAGGAGGAAGGAGGAGGAAAATGACTGTGGGGTCCTTGATGGTCTCTGAGCTGGGTGGTTTTCTTGCAGACGTTTCATGACCCAACTAGGTAACATCATCAGTGCTAGAAGAGAGGAGGAGGGCTGTTGGGGTCCTTGGTGCTCTCTGAGCTGGGTTGTTTTCTTTCCGACATTTCATGACCCAACTAGGGAACATCATCAGTGCTAGAAGGGAGTGGGGTTTGTAGAGAGCAGGAGGAGGAGGAGGAGAAGGAAGAAGAAGGGGGAGGAAGAAGGAGGAGGAAAATGACTGTGGGGTCCTTTATGTTCTCTGAGCTGGGTGGTTTTCTTGCAGACGTTTCATGACCCAACTAGGTAACATCATCAGTGCTAGGAAGTAATGGGCTTTGCAGAGGAGGAGGAGGAGGAGGAAGGAGGAGAACTGTAGGGCCCTTGGTACTCTCGGAGCTGGGTAGTTTTCTTGCAGACGTTTCATGACCCAACTAGGTAACATCATCAGGGCTCCAAGGGAGTGAGGTTTGCTGTCTATTTATATATGGCTTTGTAGAGAGTTAAATCCCACTCGCTTCCAATCCGGACAATGGCAATTTAATTCCCCCTCTTCTCTCCCCCCCTCCCCCCCCCCAGGTTGTCATTTGACTGCTTCCCGCGGCCGAGAAGATGGGAACAACGCAACTTTTCCGGACGCTACGTGTCAGGGGCGCCTTCCCGGCTGCTGCGCGTATGTTGGGCTTTGGTGAAAAGTGGCGGCCGGCCAGTTTTTCTCCCTTGCTCCCTTGGACCCGGCCTGGGTTAGACTCTACTACGGGGTGGGAGGGGGAGGGGGCAGCTCCGGAGGAGACCCTCCTCGCTTGCAAAAAACAAAAAAGCCACTTCAAAGGACCAAAAAGGAGGGCTGGTGGAGACGCCCCTTTCCTTTCCGTTTTCCTTTCGCACGGCTCAAGAGGCAGCTCTGCAACACGCCAGCCAGGCTGGGTAGGACGAGAAAGAAATTTAAAAAGACTCCTTTTTTTTTTTTTTTTAATGATCGCGGCCTGGGATTTAGTGGAACTGCAAAGCCTCCCGTCGCGTGGACCGTGTGGGCTCGTCCACGTTTCATTTCCTGGGCCCCCCTACAGAAGTTGGTCCCCGTTGCATTTTTATGTATTTATTTATTTATTGGGGGTGGGGAAGACATTTCCTTCTCCATTTAGCCACACCTTCTCCTCTTGGATTTCCTGGTGGTGTTCCATCCAGCCACTAACTAAACAGTTCTGGCGTTGTGGAGTATCTGAACTCAGCTGTGCTGAGGATGGGGTGTAGACTGATGGTGTGTGTGTGTGTGTATGTGCGTGTGTGTGTGTGTGAATGGTTGTGCGTGTGATAATACGCACCTTCCTCCTTTTGAAAGAGGTGACCAGTCACCTTTGTTTTGTGTGTGAGAGAGAGAGAGAAAGAGAGAGAGAGAGAGAAAGAAAGAAGGAAGAAAGGAAAGAAAGAAAGGAAAAAAAGAAAGAAAAAGAAAGGAAAGAAAAAGAAAAAAGAAAGAAAAAGAAAGGAAAGAAAGGAAAATTAAGAAAGAAAGAAAGAAAGAAAGAAAGAAAGAAAGAAAGAAAGAAAGAAAAAGAAAGAAGGAAGGAAGGAAGGAAGGAAGGAAGGAAGGAAGGAAGGAAGGAAGGAAGGAAGGAAAGAAAGAAAGAAAAAGAAACATACTACAAGTAGTCCACAACTTACAACAACAATTCATTTAGTGACCATTCAAAGTTATAATAGGATTGAAAACAAAAGCGATTTAGGACCATTTTTCACACTTATGACCCCTGGACAAGTGATCAAAATTGGCAACCGACTCATATTTATGATGGTTGCCATGTCCCCGGGATCACATTTTTTTGCGACCATCTGATGAGCAAAGAGAGTGGGGAAGCCAGCTTCGCTTAATGACCATGTTAGACCTGCAATGCTTCGCTTAACAACCCTGGCAAAAGAGTCGTAAAATTAGGCACGAAGCCCTTAACAGCTGACTTCCTTAGTAATGGAAATTCGGGTCCCAATTGGGGTCATAAGTCGAGGACCAGCTCACCTGTTCCCTCCCCAGGGTCAATCACATAGAAATGTTTATTTTTTTTTCGGTTCGTTATTGTTTTCCCCCTACATGTTATTTATGCGGGCAAAGGGAGGTGGGAGCGCCTGGACCACCCCACACGAGTGGTCTCCTCCTCCATGTTTTTGTCCCCTGGGTTTATTTATTGCCAACCCTTCATGGTGTTACGTTTAAAAAAAAACAAAGAAAAAGGGTGTTAAGAGAAATTTCATTTCTATATGTTGTTAAATAAAAAAGCAGAAAAACCAAAGGATGGTTGGTGGTTGCCTTTGCTTTGCCAGGGTGGGGCTGGGTGGAAGGTAACTTCATTGTATGAGGTGCAATGACAATAAACAAAACTAAAACTAAAACTAAAACTAAAACTAAACCAAAACCATAACCAATCTAAACTAAACCTAAACTAAACTAAACTTAAACCAAACCT